AATTATACGAATGAAAACTTTGTTCATTTGAGAGCTTATGCCGCTCTCAGAGAACTCGGGGTTTCCACTGATAAGCAAACTGTTGACAAGAATATGTGTATGTATTCAGAGTATGGCTTAAGAATTGTTTTATTTTCTAATAATTGGTGTTTTATTTTATAGATAAGGCTTATAGACAGCAATGGATGACTGAAATTCGTAGTGAAGGTGAAGAAGTGGATAGTTTTCTGAGCAATGAATCGCAAATTAATGGTTGATTTTGTCTAGTACATATTTTACAAATTTAAGTGTTTAATTTGTAATTGAATTTATTTGTTGAAAAGTAAAACTATAACAATTTACAAGTTAATATGTATATTTACAAAATTTTTCTAAATTTATTAAAAATTATTAAAATTTTTGATATTTTGATAAGATATATTTCAATATAATATGTATAACCGTTTATTATTTAATATTTTGAAAGGTGACAAATTTATTTTAAAATATAAAATATTGTAGTGATCTAGAATCAAATGATTTATGTTTATAAATCTAAAGTCTAAAACGATCTTGTTTATAAAATTATTCCCTGTTAAAAGTTTACATAACTTTTGATTGACAGTAAAATGTCAATTAAATAAAGGATATAAATGTAATTAAAATAATGATGTTTATAACTAAACATATTTTGTAAAGCTATATAATCTAGCACCCAGACTGTATTATCTATCTATTAAGTATCAATTATTATTGTAACAAGCTCACAGTTATATTCATTGTATTTGTGACAAAAATAAAAGTTATATTTAAAGCCCACGTATATTATACATTCATTTTAAGGCACCGGCCTTAAGGGCCGGTAGCCTAACCTCTCGACCACTTCAATATGATTTTAAAACTTTTGCTCTTGTTGAAACTATTGTATGTAGGCATTTGTTTATTTTACTTTAATATATTAATGTATTTCTTTATTACACTATTTAGTAATTAATGGTAATTATTAATAATCAATCATAGACACTTATACTGTGCATACACAGTGTTCATGCACATCAATATAAATTTTTATCAATTCAAAACTCATTACTTATAAGATGTAATAACCCCATCAAAAATATTTAATATCCTAAGCTAGTAGCATTTAATTTGTTTATTAAGTAAAATATCCTTATTTTCAAAGAAGATAATTTAAACATACATTAATTTTTTGTATATTTGAATTTAAAACTAAACATTTAAAGGTGCCTTGACTATTTGGCAAGAATTTAATAATAATTCATAAATCGATATAATTATATAATAATGCTGAAAGCAACACAAAATGGTCTTGATGATAGTGTTTATGATGTAAATAATAATGAGGATGAATGCATTGAGTGAGTAATATTATAAAAATTAATTTTTAAAATAGAAAATGATTTATTTAAATAAAGCTAATTTAAATGAATATGTTTTGTATTTTTAAATTTAATAATTATTAATAATAAGGTGTATGAAATTTATACAAAATAGTATTCAAATAAAATAAATTAATAGAAATTGTCAATAACTTGAAAAATAACATGAATCTTTGAAGCATATGCAAGGGTAAACAAGCATAATTTTATAAATCCAGAATATCATCGTGCGAGTCAATACGTTTGATAAGTGAATTCATGGATACATTAATGAACTCAAACACAATAACAGCTGCCGATGGACTCGAACTCACGTCTCTGTACGAGAGTTATATGGATGTGATTCGGGAGTTACTTATATCGTTAGCTACTAAAGATAAGGTTTACAAATATTTCAAATGTTTTATGTGTAGGTCATTGTGATAACTAATTGTTCACAATCAGAATGACATCGAAAGGGCCCACAAAACCATTGACTCTCACCTGAGATTGTGCGACAAAAATCGTAAAACTGGTCTAATGTTAACGGTATTGAGTTATGTGAAGACACCTAACTATCATCGATATAGCGATGGTTAGCTTAATATGAAATGATATATAAGTAATGAAATTATACTCTAATTATACTCTCCTTACAGTTGAATCTCACTCCGAGTTACTCTATGCCTACGGAATAATTTTCTATGCAATGATCTGTGCCTTAGAAACACACAATATCTTTGGTTTAATTAAAATAGCGATTAATTTGCAAAAGTTCATTAGAACTTTAAAGTAACTATTAAAATCAAATGACATACTTGTTAATGGCTTTTAACTCATATCTACTTTGACATTCATTATTCATAGAGTTTGCAAGTTTATATATAAACGTAAAATACAGTGGGCTAGTACACCCTCACAACAGACCTTTGAGTCGGGTTATAAGTTAGCAACTAGCATGGCTCATATATTTATCAGTTATATGCCCCCAAAGCTGCTGCGAATTATTAATCTGATAGGTGTCTCGGGGGTGTACTCTATAGGTTTCAATCAACTGAACAAGGTTGCTTTCACGTCCACCAACATGCAGGGTCAAATGTGCAAAATGGTCTTGATACTGTTCTGGACCTTTGTGGAGGCACACTTTTCGTTGACAGCAAAAAACGTAGACATTTGTCAACAATTACTAAATAAGAGCATTGATAACAAGGTTTGAAACCAATTTTAAAGCAAAATGAACCTAGCTATTTTATATCAATCAATGATTAATTTCTAATACAATAGAGTGGTGTGTACTTTGTATTTAAGGCCAAATTGGCACAAATTAGCGGTAATATCGATGAGTCCATTAATATCCATAAGAAACTGATCACTGATTACGAGTCGGATATCTTTGTTAAATACTTTTGGTTTGAATTAATGCTTTCAAATGCAATGAAATGTGATGTCAATGAAAGTATTAAATATGCGCTACTCGTCCGCAAAGGGATGACACATTCGCCCGCTTTTACCACTTATTGTGAGGCAGTGTTCAGGTATCTGAAGGGAACGGATGAGTCGGATACACGGGAATTAGAGAGGGCTGTCCAATTATTGGGGTAAGTATTTTAAGTTATATGTATGAAATAAAATACTTTTATTATAATACTAATTATATATGACTACAGAATCGTACCGTCCATACGGGTCCGGTATTTCGGTAAGTCGTTGACAGTGGAGAAGATGGCAGTCATGAGCGCACAGAAGTTTAGTAATACCTCCCAATGCTCTGTCCTACCAGATATGGTCGGCGTTTATATAGTTTTATTTTTGTCATCTTTATTAAATAATTAAACTTAAAAAACATAATTTTTAAACTTAATTTTTAGGACTTGTTATACCAATTGAATTGTTTGTCATTCATTGCGGGCAATACTGTATTATTGGATCGATTTATGGACAGAATTGGTAGAGAACTCGACAAATATGCCAATGATTTGAGTAATCAATTGTGTTATTATTAGTTTTATGAATGAATGAACTATTTTTGGAAACCTTTAGAGACGAGTGAGTATCTGGATAATTATTTAACGGCACTGTTTTATAAGGGAGTCATTCACCGGCTTTTATCACAATATACTGAAGCGAGGAATTGTCTGAAAATTGTATTTAAAGAGTATGTCTATATAAATGTCAATCATATGAATTTATTTTTAAGTCAATTGTCATATTTGTTTCTAAAGGGAGGCCCGATTTGGTCGGGAGTACTCAATACCCCCTCAATCTGTAATGGAGTTAGGATTAGTGGAACTGGAGCTCAATAATAGGGCCGAAGCTGAGAAGTGGCTCAAGAAATCACTCCACGATTACAGCAATTATATGAATGAAAACTATGTCCACATCCGGGCCTATGCGGCGCTCCGGGAGTTAGGCGTCTCCAGTGATAAGCATAGTGTAGATCAGATCCAATGTAAGTGTATTATACAATGTATTGTAATTATCTTTATAAGATTTATAAGTATATAATTGTTTGTAATTGAAGGCCAGGAGTATAGAAATCAATGGTTAAGGGATACTCGCAATGATGAGGAAAATGTGGACAAAATACAGGCCAATGAGAAGGAGATTAATGCTTAAAATAGTTGTATTAATTAATAATTATTATCTAAAAACATCGTTAGACACAACATGTATGCTATTGTACTAAGAAATGGCATATTAGAAAACATACTATTTTAAAATTAATTGAATTTTAATAAGTTTATGAATTTATTGATTATTTACAAAATTATTGTTTGTGTGCAAAATAAAATGATTTGCTAATACTGTAACTTTACTTCGCTAAGAATTCACACAAAATAATAAAAATTAGTTACTACTTTGTTTTTATTAAATATTTTATTTAAACAATTACTGTATTTAAAAATAATTATACAATTGAACGAAATAAAACAATTATTTTTAAAAATAGACTTTGTTTACTCTAAAGCTTGAGGTAGTGTTATCAAGTAAACTAGATAAAGGTATTGTAAAATTATTGTAAGGAGTTTGTGTATATGTGCCAGTCAATTACTACTTTTTAAAATTAATTAAATTAATTAACCATTATTAAAAAGATCAATCAAATAACTTGAGTTTTAACTATGATAGGTAAGTCAGTAAATGAAACCAATTTAAACTTTTCAAGGCATATTATAATAAATTAATTAAAGATGATTACATAAGATAGTTAATAATCTAATTAAAAACTTATGTTTTAATTTTATAATAAACTATTTGAAGTTAATTAATACTAATTAAAATATTCAAGTTTTTAATAAAATTATTGAAATTAATATAAGGAATAAAACATTGAGACAGTTGTCAGTGAAAAGTTAATGATTTATATATATTATATAAGTTTTCAAAATAGCATATCTAAGAAATAACAATGATTAAAACTACACAAAATCAACTAGGTCAGAATGGGAGTGACACAAATAATAATTACATTGATGAAAGTATTGAGTAAGTATTATTCTTAATAGCTGCATAAAAATTACATTTTGATTAAAAATATGATATTTATAAAGATGGTAATTTAAATGAATCGGGCATATTTTATAATATAGTATATCATCGTGCGAGTCAATACGTTTGATCAGTGGATTCATGGATATGTTAAAGAAGTCAAACACAATAACAGCTGGCGATGGACTCGAACTCACGTCTCTGTACGAGAGTTATATGGATGTACTTCGGGAGACATTTATCGCAATCCCCACTAAAGATAAGGTTTTCATTTAGTTATCAATTATTTGATAGACTTATAAAGATATATACGATAACCAATTGTTCACAATCAGAATGACATCGAAAGGGCCCACAAAACCATTGACTCTCACCTGAGATTGTGCGACAAAAATCGTAAAACAGGTCTAATGTTAACGGTATTGAGTTATGTGAAGACACCTAACTATCATCGATATAGTGATGGTTAGCTTAATTTGAAATGATATATAATTTATAATTTAATTACACTAATATACTGTCCTTTCAGTTGAATCTCACGCTGAGTTACTCAATGCCTATGGACTCATTTTTGGTGCAGTTGTCTGTGCCTTAGAAACACATAATATATTTGGTTTAATTAAGATAGCAATTAATTTGCAAAAATTTATGAGAGGTTTAAGGTAATTATCTGATGATTTGATTAAACATTGAACTAACTAATGCTTATCTTATTAAAATAATAATAATATTGTACATACTGTAGTACTGTATACTAAAAACTTTTTTGGACCCACTGTGTTAATATTAGCGATTTGTTAATATTTGTCTAGAATGTGCAAGTTTATATACAAACGTAAGACACGATGGATCAGTACAGCCTCCCAACAGACTTTTGAGTCGGGTTATAGGCTTACAACTGGCCTGGCTCATATCATAATCAGTCATATGCCGCCCAGGTTGCTACGGATTGTCAATCTTATTGGTGTTTCAGGCGTTGAAAGTATTGGTTTTAATCAATTGAACAAGGTTGCTTTTACATCGACTAATTTACAGGGTCAGGTAGCCAAACTGCTCTTGATGCTTTATTGGACTTATGTGGAGTCACATTTTTCACTTAAAGCCAAAAATATAGACATTTGCCACCAAATGCTTAATAATAGTATTGATAACAAGGTTTGGGTTTTAAATTTGATAATTAATCGCGATTAAATAAGTTATTTCTAATATTTTACGTTTTAATGCGCTAATGTAGAGTGGATTATATTTGGGATTTAAGGCCAAATTGGCACAAATTAGTGGTAATATCGATGAGTCGATCGAGATTTATAATAAACTGATCACTGATTACGAGTCCGATGTATTGGTTAAATACTTTTGGTTGGAACTCATGATTGTATTTGCATTGAAATGTGATGTCAACCAATGTATTAAATACGCGCTACTCGTCCGCAAAGGGTCGGCCCATTCACCGGCTTTTACCACATATTGTGAGGCAGTCTTCAGATATTTGAAGGGAACGGATGAGTCGGATGCCAGTGAATTGGAAAGGGCTGTCAAACTACTGGAGTCTGTATTTTTATTTAATGAAATTTTATCTTGTTTGAGATTAAAGTAAAATATTTGAGTTGTAATTGTATTACAGAATCATACCGTCAGTAAGGGTCCGGTATTTCGGCAAATCTTTAACTATTGAGAAGATGGCTGTCGTTAGCGCACAGAAGTTTACGAATACCTCCCAGTGCTCTGTCCTACCAGATATGGTATAGGATTTATATATTCATTATATTCATCAATCATGATAGATCTCAATGTATATTTGCTTAATTTTAGGATATGTTATACCAATTGAATTGTTTGTCATTCATTGCGGGCAATACTGTATTATTGAATCGATTTATGAACAGAATTGGTAGAGAACTCGACAAATATGCCAATGATTTGAGTAATCAATTGTGTTATCAAAGAAAACGTTGAAAAATTAAAAAATAATTTTTAATATAATGTTTAGACACGACTGGATATTTGGATAACTATTTAACGGCACTGTTTTATAAGGGAGTCATTCACCGGCTTTTATCACAATATACTGAAGCGAGGAATTGCCTGAAAGTTGTATTTAAAGAGTAAGTCTATATTAGAGTTAATCATTTGAACGATATTTAAAATTATTTATATATTTTATTTAAATTAATTATAATTATTGTTATGTTTGAAAGAGAGGCCCGATTTGGTCGCGAGTACTCAATACCCCCTCAATCGGCACTGGAGTTGGGATTACTGGATCTGGAGCTCAATAATGGGGCCGAAGCTAGAAAATGGATAAAGAAATCACTTCACGATTACAGCAATTATACGAATGAAAACTATGTCCACATCCGGGCCTACGCGGCGCTCCGGGAGTTAGGCGTCTCCACCGATAAGCATAGTGTGGATCAGTCGTTAAGTAAGTTTTAAACGCACTGTACTGTATAAATTAGTCATTATATTTAATGATTAGTTCAGTATTTATAATTGTATGTGATTTTTAATGTGAAACTTATTATTTGTGTGATTGAAGGCCAGGAGTATAGGGATCAGTGGTTAAGGGATATTCGCAATGAAGAGGAAAATGTGGATAAAATACTTACCAATGAGTTGGAGATTAATGATTAGAATATTTTGTTGTTTGTATTAATATTTTTTGTATAATTATGGTTAAATAATTTTATATCACGATGTAATGTGTTTTGATATTTTTATCAATTATTTTATTATTTTTTGAATGCAATCATTTTGAATTTACATGATTATTATTTTTGTCATTTTTTAAATTAAATAAATTTTTTTATTATTTCTTAAATAAAATCTTTTATTAAATTTGTTAAAATTAATTACATTAGAAGATTAACAGAGGTTAAACTAATCAGATTTAACCACTTTTTGTTTTCTATTATAATTTCTAAAATAAAAATTTGAAAACAGAGTGAACAGTGCGATAGCGTTGCCTAAATTGGCCGCTAAATAGCCTAAAGGCATATCTGTCTGTTTGATTGTCACAATTGAAAACCATATGACGTGAATGACAAACTGTATCAGTTGTATCTGGGTGATATACTTTTTCCACCATAAATACTTCTGGTACTGGGGTCCCAGCGCTGACAACGCGTAATAACCATACATTACCACATGTATGAAGCCGTTGACTATCGGAATGATAGCACAGGTAGGCATATCTGGAATGAGCAAATAAGTATTAATTAGTTTAGTAATCGGGATTAATAGTTAGAAATTCATACATGGGTTGTATCGCATATACATCCAACCGGCGCCCACCAGTGATATGTGGTGCCAGATGTGGAGGACAGTTATCTGCGAGTGTTTCTTCTTGAAAGCCATGAAAAACGTGTCGAAAAAGTCGACTAATTTTGATAAGTAGTACCAATAGGCTATGTTTATGAAGTCCATGGCCTTGTCCGAGGTATCGGTCTTAGGGTTCGTGAAGTTCCACATCTCCCGTCCCAGTCGTGTCGTGTGGAAAAGGACCCGGAAGAAAAAGTAACCGTTTATTAGGACCTGAAAAAAGTTATGAAATTTAGATAATCGTGAAAAATTAGTTACATTTTGCTGATACATACGAGTAGAACATTGTATGCAATCATTGTATTTTTGAGAGTATAAGCTTGCTTTTTTCGCATGATTTCCGGTATTAATGCAAACACAATGAACAGGTATGTCATAATAATGGCAACTAAACCCACGAATGAAATGCCCACAAGTGGCAGGTGGTCTGACCGGGGGTCAGGCCCCTGTTCCCAGTATTCATAGCCCCAGTAGTATATGGTGGAGTCGTTGCCCATGTATTCGCCGAGTTTGGAGACTAGCCACCGGTCTATTTGTTTGTCCCATTGGTCACTATAGTCACTGATATTATTCATTTTCTGATGGACAATGAAAAAGCATATACAGTACAACTATAAACACTCACTAAGACATTAAATAGTAACTATAAGACTTTAAATAATCAAATGTTGTGTGTATTGAATGGCATTGAAGTTAATTGAATATTTTTATTAAATTTAGTGTGTGTAATTACTCAAATAGATTTTTTACATAATCTATTTTTAATCGCACGTAAAATATCAGGGAAATTTGTTTTAAAACTATACTTGATTAGTATTAATATACGCAAAGTGAACAAGGATACAATGAATAGACAATTTGTTTACATGTAAAAGAAGTTAAATGTGTTAAAGTATGTTTTAATTAAAATTTTAATTAATCTATAGTTAAATTAATTTTTATGTTTGTTTAAAAGATATTGAGTTGCAATCTAGTGATACATTTTAAAATTATTTTAATTTAATATATTTGTCAAATAGCTAAACAATTAGACTAGTTAAAGATTAATATGATAATTTTACCTATTCATTTTAATTTGGTAGACTTAATTTAGTGTGTATTTTTGTTGAAATATTATATTATTTTTTACCTGGTTATTAGCAATTGGTAACTATATATTTGTTCTTGGTTACGCAAATTTATAAAATTTTCTTAATTTATCTATTAATAAAACTGGAATTTAAATACAATAGTGTGTACGTTACCTCAAAAAATTATTATGCTAATTTTGAAAAATTGATTTTAATAATACATGATGGCAAATAAAATAGATTTCAACTTGTCGCAAGAATATCCAACACTTTTTAGGGTATATAGGCTTAAAGACCCTCTGCTAGCCATTAATGATAGCCATGGGGTTGGGAGGGATAATAATAAAATCATTATTGTATAGTCTAATGGATGTAATTTTGCATCATAAATAATAAATTATTTTTCCCAAATTAAATATCAATTTTTTATACTAAACTATACTATAGATTATTTGATACTGTAATAATGGTTGAAAAAATAATATAAATTGAGTTTTATTGTATATTTATCAAGGGGGATTTTAAAACTATTTGAAACTTAATATTATACTTTCCATGAATGAAAGTTAAATTTTATTTTCAATTCCTAAGATCATAAGCAATTTAAAAATACAATTTGTTTCCATAGTACGCTTAACAGATAAAAAATTATATACAGCAGTAATTGTTTAAGTCAATTGACACGTGTGTAAAAAGTAGTTCAATTGTTCCTGATATTCATCAGGATATTTGCAATAGTGTCCGACATGTGGCGAGTTATGCCACCACTTCTCCTAGACATCAACGCCGGCCCTCCGCCAGTCCTTAATGATAGCCCTAGTGTTGGTAGGGTTGGCCACCACATCGGTCTTGGACATGAAGTACAGCACCGGGCACTGGAACTGGTGCTCCTTAAATGCATGTAATGCCCTGAACCAGTGAACCCGTACAATTCTGTAGGCTAACCATTCGGCCGGCTTACCCAACAGTATAATTAGTTTTTGTAGTGTTGGACTACCGGTGATTGCCTTAGCCATGCCTACCAACGAGTCTCCTGCATCCACACCCGAGTCCACTACCAGTCCTTTCAGCGATTGTCGTATTTTGCGTAAAACCTCTTTATTTTCTGGTCGTTGCAAACGTACGTAAGTTTCACCTAATTGGTACGTCCCGACCGAGAATACGTGGATTAGGAGCTGGTCATACCGGTGCTGTAGGGCGTTGAGACAGTCAATGACTTTTTGAGCCACCATTTGGGATCCAATGGCAGGTATGTTGGCATCTGTTACCTGTGCGCACAGTTAACACATTCATACCTTTATTTAAATATAGTTTTCGGTATTTTTCTAAGTGTTGGTCTTTAGCCAAAAGCCACCCGTATATGATAACTAGTGTACGACCTCTTTGTGTAAGTTTATCGGTGCTGGTAGTCAGAGTATAGAAACTAAATGTCAGGTTTTGGTCTAAATTTATATGATTTTTGTGAGTTATGTCGTGATTGGGATTAGATTCAAGTCGTATGAGAATATTAAGGCGATGTTTGGGTACCTTTCGCTTTGACAACTGATATGTTATTATACCCATTGTTAATAACAGAATCGATAGTATGGTGATACACACAATAGTTATTAAAATCATAATAATAATTGCTATGATGAAAACTCAAAAATGTATAAAATTGGCACTCATTGGAAATGAAATCATGAGATTAAATAAATATATGACTAACCGGTTTTGTAAATTATCATTACTTTTTCATAATATTTATTTATTTCATTGATTATTTTAAAATTATTTTAATTGATTTAAATAAGAAAACATATGTTATGCATACAATTTTATAATAACGTCAAATACAACTTACCGGTATATTTAAGTTATACTTGAATTTTTAAAATAAGTTTTTATGAGATAAATGTTTTTTCATAAAACGATCAACAAGGTAACTCTTGAATAAGATGATTATATCAATTGACACGTGAGTAAAAATTGATTCAATTGTTCCCGATATTCATCGGGGTATTTATAATAGTGTGCGACGTGTGCCGAGTTTGACCACCACTTCTCGTGGACATCGACTCCCATTTTCTGCCAGCCCTTTATAACAGCTCTCGTATTGGAGGGGTTGGCCACCATGTCATCCTCGGACATAAAGTACAGCACCGGGCACTGAAACGGGTGCTTCATAAATGTCCAACACGACCGATGCCAATGTTTGTACACAAATAACCTGGTTGACTTTACGTACCATCTCATCACTACCCTGATCAGTGGCTGTAGTATTGGGCTGTCGGTCAGTGTTTTGGGCATAGATACTGGTGTGTCGCCAGGATGTACACCCGAGTCCACTACCAGGCCTTTCACTGAGTGCTGAATGCGGCGGAAAACTGATTGATTATGGGGTCGTTGCAGACATACGTATGTCTCTCCCAATTGGTATAAGCCTATGGAGAAGACGTGAAAAAGGAAGCGGTCGTACCGGTGCTCCATAGCCTTTAGACAGTCGATCACCTTTTGGGCCACGAATTGGGCTCCGATGGGAGGTATGAGCACATCCAGGATACTTGTGCGCACAGTTAGCACATCAAACCCTTTATTTAGATACAGTTTTCGGTATTTTTCTAAATGTTTGTCTTTATAGAAAAGCCACCCGTATATGACTACCAGTGATCGACCATTTGCTTGTTTTACGGCACCGGTAGGTATAGCAGAAATGCTAAATGTGAGGTTTGGGTCCAAAAATATTATATTTTGATGATTTATTTGGTGAACTGATTCATGTGGTGACAGAATATTGAGCTGATGTTTGGGTACCTTTCGCTTTGATAACTGATTTGCTATTATACTTACAATGAATATCACATTTAAAATGATATACACGATACTTATATTTAGAAAAATAATTACAAATAACATAGCTTAATATTAGTTTAATGTAACTACAATGTTCAATAACTAATATTTTTTCTGATTAGTACAATTTTGAAAATGAAAAAATAAATTGCGATATCCTATGACGTTTGGCTCAAATTAAGGAAATTGTTTCTATTATTTTAAAATTTTGATAAATTTAGTAAATGCTGCTTTTCTATTATCATTTTAAATAACTTATAAAGCCAAAATCAAATAAATTAAACAATTAAATATGTACACGGGTTAAAAGCTAATTTTTAATATTATACTTGAATATACAATACTGTATAACTAGTTATTATGAATTAATGTACAATTACTACAATAGTAATTTTAAGTTAACATCCACAGAGTAACTATGGTATATAATTGTTAATAATTGTACTTAATTGTTGTGATTAATTAAATATTACACAATGAATTTTTATAGATATAGCATATCTAAATTTTATAACTACACAAAAAATACAAACAACAAATACAGTAGCTAAACAAATTATATGGTAATCAAATCAATTGACACGTGTGTAAAAATTTGTTCAAATGCTCCACGTACTCATCCGGGTATTTAAAATAGTGACTCACATGAAGTGAGTTTTGCCACCATTTCTGGTGAACGTCTATCCCGGAGCTCTGCCACATCTTGATAAGACTAAGCGTGTTGGTAGGGTTGGCCACTATGTCATCGTCGGACATGAAGTACTGTATTGGGCACCGGAAGGTCTTTAAATGTTTTTCCTTGAATGTGTCCGAGGAGGTGGTCCAGTGTTTAGCCACAAACTGGTGGCCCACATATGAATAGGTGTTCATCATAAATATGATCACATTTTGTAGGAACGGGTTATTAGTGGACGCCTTGGCTATACCTATAGGCGCGTCGCAAACATCAATACCCGAGTCGATTATCATGCCTTTCAGGGATTGACTGGTTTTG